GGATCGAAGGAGCCTATCCCAATACAATTTTGGCACTGGAGACACACGTGGCAACAGGCATGGCAAAGGGAGTGCCGGGGGGAACAGTGCCACTGAACCTGGTTCCCATCCCTCGTCTTTATCCCCCATCCCCTAAAAGCACTGTGCCCCCTTTTCAGGTCTCCTGCTGTTTGCTACGTCTCTGGACTTGGACTTCAGGGACCACAGTAAATCAAGTGGGGCCCCAGCCAGACTAACTGTGCCCAGGGGATTCATGCCTGAAACTCAACTTCCTGCGAACATGAAAGGGGGGGCAGTAGGGTCTGACTCTGTGCCTTTAATCAAAGCTGTAGTGAATGATGAGGTGAGTTTTATTCATTGTTAGGTGGGACAACTATATTTACGAGGGAGACATGGCGGGGAGATGCACAGCTCTGGCAATCATCACCTTACTCGGTGACAGAGACAATTTGAGCTGGAGGAATGAACAACAGGGAGCCTTCCCTTTCAATCCTCCTACAGGGACAGAGTGGGCTACCTTACTTAATGGGATAAAGAAAGATCAAGTTAACAGGAAATCTAGTATTTTTTTATTTATTTTTTATTTTTTTATTGTCATTGTAAGTATATACACAGTACTGTATACCCATACAATGAAATTCACAGACATCCAGAGACCAGACACATGCACACACATAAAATGCCCCAAACACCCCCACCCACTAAAAAAAAAAATCCCCCAACACTCCCCACCCATTAAAAGTCCCCCACTAAAAATACAAACATCTACACCGCAGGCCAAGTAACACAATCCAACTAACTATTCACTACTGGTGGTCTTTAAGCTCATTATTAAGTGCAATTATAGCTCTGGAATAAAAACTATTCAGAAAACGTGTGGTCCGAGTCTTAATTGTTCTATATCTTCTGCCAGACGGCAACAGTTCAAAAAAGTTATAAGCAGGATGGGAAGAGTCTCTCAGGATGCTGTGTGACTTCCTCAGACAGCGGGATGTGAAGATGTCATCTAGGGTTGGTAGCTGGAGCCTGATGATATTCTGGGCAATTTTAATGGTTCTCTGTAGAGCTTTTTTGTCCACTACAGAGCTACTCCCAAACCATGCCAGAATGCCATAGGTTAGGACACTCTCAATGGTGCTACGATAGTATGACAGAAGTAAATGCTGAGATAGATTTAACTTGCCGAGCATTCTCAGGAAATGCAGCCTCTTCTGTGCCTTCTTCACTAGCATGTTGGCATTTATAGTCCATGAGAGGTCCTCTGAGGTGTAAGTGCCCAGAAATTTAAAACTACCAACTCTCTCCACTTCCTCGCCATTTATGTACAGTGGTAAATGTACATTTCTCTTCCTCCTAAAATCAATTATGAGTTCTTTAGTTTTTTTAATGTTAAGTGTGAGATGATTTTCTTTACATCAAAGTATCAATCCTTGTACTTCTTTTCTATAAGCAGACTCATTGTTCTTATTTATGAGCCCCACCATGAAGTACATGATTGGTTTTGTGTTTGTTTCATAAGAAGACAGAATATCAATGATATAAAAAATACAAAATGCTATAATTAATATGCTACAATTAATATGTATTTAAAATATTTTTACCCCGCCTTTCTCCTTAAGAAGATCCTAAGGTGGCTCACATCAGTAGAAGACAATATGTAAAAGCTAAAAAAACCTAAGGATTAGAGGTGGACACAAACCAACAAACCTTTGGACAAACAGGTGTTTGGCATTTCCCAGCCCTGCCTCCTCCGGTGGGCACCCACTCAGAGGCAGCACCCTGGCTTCCCTGCCCTTCTCCTCTGGGTGCTACCTCTGAGGGGCCACCAGCGGGAGGAGGCAGGGCTGGGAACCACTAAACACCTCTTTGTCCGAAGGATGGACCAGCACAAACTGCCAAAGTGCCCATCTCTAGTAAGTATACAAATATTACAAAATAATCAAACAAATACCACACTGAAGAGGCAATCAAAATCAAAACCAAAACCACATGCAAAGCAACAAGGCACAACAATCCATTTTAAAAATGCTTTCAGACAATCAGTCACTAAAGGAAAAGCTTGCCTGAAGAGAAGAGTTTTTGCTGCTTGCAGAAGGACAGGAAAGATGGGGCCAGCCTGACCCTCAGTGGGAAGAGAGTTCCAGAGTTTGGGAATAGCAACAGAGAAGGCTCTCTCTCCCATGCCCCTACCGAATGCAGTTGTGAAGGTGGTGGGAACGAGAGAAAAGCCTCCCCTGATGATCTTAACACCTGGGGAGGCTCATGAAAGGAGACACGGTCTCAAGACCAGCACTTTGAACTGTGCCCCGAAATGGAAGGCTCTCTCTCCCATGCCCCTACCGAATGCAGTTGTGAAGGTGGTGGGAACGAGAGAAAAGCCTCCCCTGAGTGAGTGAGTGAGTGAGAGAGAGAGAGAGAGAGAGAAAGAGAGAGAGAGCAGCTGAAGTTTCTGAGCACTTCACAAAGGCAACCCCACATGGAGTGCATTATAGTAATCCAGCCATGTGTCACCACGGTCAGATCAGACCTATGTATCATAACAATATCACTATACACAAGCCAACAAAGAATCTCTCCACCAGATTTAGATGCATACTAAGAGCACATTACAGTGCAGCCACGCTCTATTATTTAGGGAGTGTGGTACTGGAATTAATATACAGTATGTTACTTACTGGCAGATGTCAATAAGACTCAATCCTTGGCTTTGGCTGAATTGCTCCAATTTGACTTTGCTGCAATTTGATTCACAGCCTGTAGGATGGCTGAATTTGCAGTCAGTGATCATGCAGGAGCTGCAGATTGAATCATGGGTTCATTTCAGCTGACAGCACTCCCTTCTGTCCTTTCTTCCTCTGGTCTCACCTCTGCCGAGCCTTTCATGGTTTGCTGGAAAGCTGCTTGGTTTCGAAAGGGTTGTACAGTGTTCTAGAAAAGGTGGCAGCATTCTAAAGTTCTTCTTAACATGTACAGAAATATCACATACCACAGTAATGTCTTTTATTTCATCTGGGTTGTTTCAGTTTTGTTCATAATTTTAATTGCCACCCCAACCTGGAGGTGATTTAATGCTAAAATAATATACAATGATTTAGCAGTAATCTCACATATGTAAAAAAACAAAAAACAAAATTCAGAGGACCACTGTGGGGGAAAGAACACAGGGGTGGATGTTCCCGCAGTCTTCCTGAACATCACACCCCAACTGTCTATGTCACCAAACACGTACAAAGCATCATATATTGGTGCAAATATTGCTGGACAGGTTTTATATCAGCAACAGCTTTTTAAACCAGATGGAGACATTTTTTGCTGCCATTTACAAAACATGTTCCATCACAACTGTTTAACTGTATTGATGAATCCAGATTGTTGTCTTCAAATCTTCAATGCCAGTTTTGTAAAAGATGCAGTATCAAAATTACTGTTGATTGCTATGCATAATAAAGATTCATAAACTTTGCAATGTTGCATAAATCAGTTTCCAAAGAAGTAACTCTATGAGGGTGGGACTGTACTGACAAATTAATGTGATCTAGTGGCCACTTTCTGATAGTAAATTAAAAATGAGTATCACTAGGCAACGGCATAGCCACCATTTACACAGGAGAATTGCACCAACTGGATTTCAGCCACCACTTAACTGCTGCTATCCCCCACCCCCGGCCCACATATCCCAGTGAATCATGAACTGAATATATAGGTAAAATGTCCAGTAGTTGCAAAGCACTGAATCCTAGTATACATCATAGTACTGTTTCCCCAAAAATAAGACCCAACCTGAAAATAAGCCTTAGTATGATTTTTCAGGATGCTTATAAGCCCTACCCCCAAAATAAGTCCTAGTTAAGTGAAACCCTGCCCTCCACCATTGTGCAGCAACCAGAAGAAGATGACACAACTATATTTGAACAAATGTAGATTATTCTGAAAATAAGCCCTAATGCATTTTGGAGCAAAAATTAATATAAGACCCTGTCTTATTTTGGGGGAAACACAATACAGTAGCAGAAGACCCTAACTTCTGTTTAGTGCAGATGCACAAACACACTTTGTTGCTTAGTATCCTGTTTGGAAACAAATTGAAATCATGTACTCTGCTCTGTCTCCTGTCACACACCCAATCATACAATTGGTTATGTGATCTGTCTGGTAAACAGTGCAAGACCAGGCATATAATGAGGAGATGCCAGAATGAGCAAATACCTTACTTTGATGATCATGAAGTATACTGTATATAGATACAGTACTGGCCTTGATATCTAGTTAGGTGAGGAGTATTCACGATCGGCTTGTTATCAGCCACCTAGAGTGGTCTTTTAGACCAGATGGGCGGGGTATAAATCAAATAAATAAATAAATAAATAAATAAATAAAATGTACTTGCCCTTTCCTATTCACTGATATTTGAATAGGAAGGGCTGGAAAAAACTCCTGCCCCACATTTGTAAAACACACACACTACTGTACAGCTGGAGCAGATATAGAAACGAGCAACCAAATATAGGACGGGATTGTACTACTCCTGAAGCAGCGTCCCTATAAGAAATGTGTTCTTTTAAGGCAAGTACTAAGGGAAGTAATTTTAAACAGGCTAACTCGGATGTAAGCCTTGTTCAGTTTAATGAGAATTATTAAAACTGAGTGCTGCAGTTTGCAACTTCACGAAATGTCTGAAAAAGAAAACGGAGGGACCGCTTGTCCGCAGCCAGGTCTTGATGCGAAGCTGCACGGTGGCCTTCTAACCGTGGAGCAAACCTATTTGGGGAGCCATCTTCAAGCGCAAAGGGAGTGTCGTTCCACGGCGTGAGTTTTTAAAAAAGGAAACTACATGTCCCGAAAGAAGTTGCGTTCTCGCGAGATGAATAGAAAGAGCGAACCTGCACGCCTGCGCGCGCCCGTGTTGAATCTTGCGCAGGCGCGCTCGGACTCTTTCCTTGAGGGGCTTAGAGGGAAAAGATGGCAGCTTTGCAGGTAAGCGTAGCGGCGCCGTTCGTGGGATCGCCTGCCATCCTCTGCGGCGGCGGCTTGTACGACAATGCGGGGCCATGACCTTTGTCCCACGGGGGCTTGTGTGTCGCGGTGGGGCTTTCCTGAGTGGCTGGCTTCCTTTTTGCCCTCCTTTCTTTGCGATAAAAGGCGTCGCCTCCCTCCCTCTATCGCTCCGTGGTCGGTGTGTTTGTTAGCCGTTGGCCTCCTCCTGCCCGTCGAAGGGAAACGCGCGTGCGTGCGTATTAACCGGCGTTTCTGGAAGGGCCTGAGTCGCTTCATCCTCGCTTTCCATTTGCTTTTCTTCCTCAGATTCCTGAAGGGAGGCGGCAGCGGCGGCGGCAGCATGGACTCAGTGCATCCCGACCTTTGGGAGCTTCTCGAAGTAAATGTTTAAGTTTTAAAAGGGCTGAAGGGGTGGGAATGGTAGAGAGGGAACCGATGTTTTGTGTAGCTCGCGGGGTGAGTGGGTAGCTATTTATTTAAATATTTAAAAATTAATATTAAATTTAAAATAATAAATAAATATTTATTCACTTATTTAAATAAGTATATTTATTCCATGTAAGAAAATTATTACATGGGTAACCTTTATTTAATTTTTGTTCATGTCAGAAGCACCACAGTGCAATCCTTCCAATAACGGGCAACTTCAAGAGCATTTGGGGCAGCCATCATCCAATCTCCCATAGTACCTGTTGAGGAGCAAAGAGTAACCTGACATAGGTGTGAAGTTGCCTGTTCTTCTCATCACTCGCCAAGGGCCATATAATATGTATAGGAAAATGTTTTAGAACATCTGCAGTTACATCACCATTTAGCCACAGAGACTCACTGGTAGTGGCAGCCGCTCCATAGATTTTTTTTTAAGTACACTTGGATGTGAAACGTTAAGCTGGAAAAAAATTGTGCAGTTGGAAACAGGTAAATTGACCCTGATGCCTCACTGTTGAGCCATCTCTCCCAATTGAGTTGATCACTACAGAGTTATAACTTCATAATTTTTTTTTCCCGTTGCACATGTTGTGTTTAATTGCTGCTAACACTACCTCTCCACAGTAGGAACATCTCACTTGAACATCTATACTTCAGAAACCTTTTTGGGGTTGCCATAAGTTGGAAGCAACTTGATGATACAAAACAACATCTTTATTAAAGGTGATGTTTCAGAAAGTCAGAGTTCCGTATATTTTGAGGCAGGACTGGCAAACATGTTGCCTTGCATATATGTTTGCTGCCGCTGTCTCTTCCACCTTGGGCAAGGCTGCTTTAGGTTTGATGGAAGTTGCAGTCTATCAGCATCTGTAGGGTCCAACGTTTTTGTCAAAGGATGCTAACTGTAAAACCCCATGGCCACATCAAAGTGCACAGAGCAATGCATCCGTCAGAGTTCTGGGTCCTGCTAGTCTTGTGAATGCTTTGACATCTAGCTATTGCTAATGGTGTGTGTTGATAATGAATTGTGATAATGGGGCAGTAGAGATGACATTATTTTAAAGAATGAAGTGTACCAGTTAGGATCATGCCAATTAACCCTTCCCAAGATTTTGAGGTGTAGAAAACATATGAATAGGTGTAATTCTATCCGACTATAAGAGGAAAAATGTAGAATTATGGCAACACAGGTAAAGTTGGATTGTGACATTCACAGGAAGGCCCTTCCCTTACTGGAGTCCAGATTGTTCAGTTCCAGTTCCTGCATCCCTAGCTAGCATGGCTTTTGGTCATAGTGGCTGGAGATGCTAGGACCTTTACTCCAGCACATGTAAAGGGTGCCAGGTTGATGAAGCCTGCCCATGGTTACTCAGTCATTCCTTTGAAGGAGGTAAGTTGCTTGATTCTTAACACAGCATGGGAACTTAGAACAGCTCAGGCCTGTGTTGGGTAAGAGGATAATAATTAAAATGCTTCCTTACTCCTTGTGCGTTAAGATTTTGTGTAGTGTCCGCTAGGTGTCACTGCTAGGATGAGACATAACTGTTGTGACGCTTAGAAGTGCCTAGAACAAAACTTGTTGGCTTTTCCTGCCGACAGTTGGTCATTAGCTTTACAGAGCTGAGCATGTGATGATACAGTTATCCCTGTCTGAAAAGGAGAAACCTTCTTTTTGTAGAGTTATGTAGATTCTGAAGCTCAGCTTTGCAAACATGTGAAATTAGTAGTTTCACTACTACTGGCGTTAATGTTACTGTCATCTCTGATCTTGGTTTTCCTGTTTCCAGGATACCTGTGCCGCTTTGCCAAACAAACCAGCGCACAGGGGGTCACAAAGATAACTTTATTACCGTTCAAAAGGGTACATCTGTGTCAGCTATGCAGTGAGGTTTTCTAATTCATGCACCTAATGGTAAGTATGATCCTTTAATCATTGTTGTTGCCTAATCCCCTCCTGAGCGTTACAGGCCTGACTGTATTAGCACAGCGTGTTGTCAGCATTCTGGCTGTTTCTTTGTGTCCTTTCAGCATGCGACCTGCACTCTGAACTATCACTACAGTGTGCTTGTACTTCATGGTAGTATCCATACTGTTAAAATAACAAAGTACAACCAGTGGAATGGAGAGGTTCATAATTTATCGTGGGAACACTTCTGAGTGGTAGTGAGGGTGTCTTAAGCCAAATAGGTGATAGCGTAATTACTTTACACAGTGTTTTTTTTCTGGGACCTTCTTGAAATACATTGCAGTCCTCCTTGTTTCTTTGAACTGAAACATTATATCTACCTAAATGGTCATAACATTTTGTTGGCAAAAAGAGAGGTTACCTACCTGTAACCATGGTTCTTCTAGTGGTCCTCTGTGAATACACACAATTGAGTTGTTCTGTGCCTGCGCAGAATGTCTCAGAAGTTTCTAGAGCTTAAAGACATGTGATTAGTAGGATGTTCCCCAGTGGAGCGCATGCTCCGCCCTCCAAAGGTCCCCTCAGTTCGTGTAAGAATCCGCCGCTGTCAAAGGCCTGTATCAAAAGACAACATGACTGGCAGAGGGGAGGATGGGCGGGATGTGTGAATTCACAGAGGACCACTAGAAGAACCATGGTTACAGGTAGGTTACCTCTCTTGTTTGTGGCCTCTGTGAATGCAGACAGTTGGGTGACTGACAAGCTCACTTACTGTATGGTGGGATGTCACGGTAGAAAGGATGTCAAGATCGCTCTGCCAAACGCAGCATCATTCTTCGCCTGGATATCCAGACAGTAGTGCCTCACAGACGTCGATACATTAGACCATGTAGCTGCATGGCAGATGTGAGGAAGTTCTGTTCCATGCTGGAAGGCAGTAGAGGTTGCCAGTGCTCTGGTAGAATGAACTCTTAAATGTTCAGGAGGTGTTTTGCCTGTGAGCTAATAGTCCAATGAGATAGTTGGACAATCTAGTGAGAGATAGTTTGAAGCAGGGGCACCCTTATTAGGACCGTGAAAGCATAAGAAGAGCCTTGGAGACTTTCTGAATGATTTAGTTCTATTGATGTAGAAGGCCAAGGAGCATCTTACATCAAGCATGCGCTTGAGAGGTGTAGAATGAGACAGAAATCGAGTTGGTAGAATAAACTGTTGATTGAGGTGGAATTCTGAGACAATTTTGGGTAAAAATGATACATCACAATAGAGGGTAACCTTATCCAGGTGGAACTGAAGGAAAGATGGGTCCAATCTGAGGTCTGCGTGTTCGCTAGCACGTTTAGCAGATGCTACTGCTACAAGGAATGATGTTTTTAGGGAAAGTAATTTGAAATTAATAGTACCCATCGGTTCGAATGGTGGTTGGGTAAATGCGTTGAGGACAAGCTGCAAAGACCATTGAGGAAGAGGATGTTGACGTGGGGGATCAATATTACGGAGTCCCTTTAGGAATTCCTTCAAAGTTGGGTGAGAGGAAAACCTAGCTGAGTCAGACTGAGCAGAAATATTCACCTTGAGGCTAGAATGAGATAGTCCGAGATTAAAGAGATGAAGGATAAAGTTAAGTAAGGTCTTCAGAAAAACCTGTGTTGTAGGTACGTTCTGAGAATTAGCGAAAGAAAGAAATGCTTTCCATTTGCTTTGGTATAATCGTTTGGCCGATGGCTTTCTGGCTCTATCTAGTATGTTTTTTATATTGGGAGTATCCTCCATGCTGTCAGGTTCAGAGAGTCTATATCAGGATGGTTGGGGATCAACGGGAGATGGAACATGTTGGTCGATATTGACCTCAGATGGCTGAACCACGGCTGACGTGGCCACCATGGAGCAATGAGGATGGCATTCGAGTGGAGCTGTCAAAGTCAAATGATGGTGCATTGTATGAGTGGAATTGGAGGAAATAGGTAGAGTAGATCTCCAACCCAATCTATCATAAAGGCGTCTCTGAGTGAATTCCTGTCGATACCGGCTCAGGAGCAATACAGCTGACACTTGGTGTTGGTCTCGGAAACAAAGAGATCGATAGATGGAGCACCCCATCAGTGACAGAGAAGGTCGAAAACTCTGTCGTTCAGTGTCCATTCGTGCGTCCTTGTGGTAAGGCGACTGAGATGGTCTGCAAGAAGGTTGTCCTCGGTGGCGACGTGGACCGCTACCGGGAAAATGTGATGTAGGTAGCACCATTCCCAGAGTTCGATCGCCAGATACATGAGCGAAAGGGAGTGGGTACCTCTCTGCTTGTTTATATAGTACAGTGCTGTGGTATTGTCTGTGGCTAGCTGTACTGATTGTCCTGCAATGAGAGGTAAGAAGGTGTGGAAAGCCTTGATAATTGCTAAGAGTTTGAGATGGTTGATGTGTAATAATTGTTTCTTGACACTCTGGGCGCAGAGTTGGAGAGGTTGGTGGGTTCATAGGGGCCAGAATGAGAGACTTTTCCCAAAGGTATGAGTGAAGTCTTTGTAGGTGTAGTTTTAGAGCGGGTTTTGTAAGCTTTTTGCACTCGGGGCAGGAGTGTGTTTGGTGTTGTTCCCCTAAGCAAAAAAGGCAACGGTCATGACTATCGGTAAGTGGTAACTTATACATGCAAAGCACGCAAGGCCCTGGGGTGGGCCATAAAAGGTTGGGGAAAAGTGGCGATGGGGGGAGGAGAAAAACCATGACTAGAAGAGAAAAAGGACTGAGGTAAATTGAAAAGGAAAAAAAAATAACTTGCAGGGGAGCGTCCAACAAAGTTATGATTGAAATAGAAAATGAAAGAAATGATTGAAAGAATCAGTAAATTGTCAGTAAAGGATCTCAATGATCACTCTAGCGTTCCGAAACAGGTCCAACTGAAGCGGCGGCAAAAAGGAACTGAGGGGACCTTTGGAGGCCACGAAGAAGAAGCATTATTCTGCTAAATGCTGTTCTAGTAAATCAACCTTCATCTGCAAGAATCAAGTGAATTGCCGAAGTGCCCCATAGGAAAGCATAGAGAGACTGAACTATGACTTCCATGAAGCACCAAAAATGCATCTTCAGTGAGAGATGCATACAGGGAATCCTCATCATTTTGGTACAATTTTACGTATTCCATGAGCTGGGTCAGTATTTTTCCTTTATTACAGTCCTCCAACAGGCCCTTTTTATAGATGTTGCTAACTTGAACCTTAGCATTACACAAATGACCTTGCTCAGCCCATGGAATCTTGCTTTCCCTCTTCCTTCTTGTGGCTGTGATCAGGAGATGGGAAATGCCTCCTTCCTGATTTAACATTTAAGTGTAGTTTTATCATTGCATGTGAAGAGGATGGACTAGTTTGCATAAGCGGCATTGCGCAACCCTACCTTGCTTAAGAAACCTTAAGTTCCGTTTGGAATCTCTGTTGATTTTTATCAAATGAGAGCAGAAATGACTGGTTTCAGGCAAGGGAAGCAAATGAGCAGGATCCAGACTTTGTACAGTATGTTGGGCTTCTTGACATACTCAGTTGGGTGGTGGGGCATGAACTGAAACTGAGACGTAGTTTCTTGCAACCCAGAGGATTCCACTGTATACCCACCACTTTTTGGAAGGAGGAAGTATTTGTGGAGTTATTCAGTGTGGAGGAGGGAGGGAATATAATGTTTTCATGCCACATGCATATTGTAGATGTGTGTGGTGTGCATTGGATGGTTGTAGACTCTGTTGAGGTAATGTATGTAAAGTTGAAGCCAAAATACTGAGAGAGGAAAACGTGAGTGCACCACACAACCACACACTTGCTTCCTCTGTTACAGCTTGTGAGGTCAAAAGAACATAGTTTATAAAGAAAACAGTTACCTGAGTTCTGATGCAATGGGATTGTGTGTGTGTGTTTTTAAGACAAATGCAATCTGTCTCTTTGTTGTAGCTGCAAAAGGAAACAGGCATCCCGTGTCTAGCAAGAGTTGCCATGGCTCTTCCATGCAGAGAGAAACCCTAGTTCCTTGTTACATTTGAACCTGTTCATTAAATGATCATGTTGCATTTATAAAATGCAGCAGATGGTTGATAGTACAGAGGGTATTTCCAGGGTAAATGTACATTCCTGAACAGCCATGCTCAGTCTGATGCCTCCAGATGTTTTGAGCTACAAACCTCTTCAGCCTCACCCAGTGTGTTCAATAGTCAGGAAGGATGGCATTTAAAATACAAACTTTCCAGAGGGTGCTGAGTTGCATAATTTCTGAAAATATGTTGAAACACACAGTAGAATCTAAATTTTGTCTGAAATAATGTGCACCTTTACCTTTAATTATTTATATCCCATTCTTTTTGTACAGAGCTGAAGAAACACTTCTCACCAGGTCTCATCAGAGAAGACAAAAAGTCTAGCCCAAAGATGGCGATTGTAAAACAACCAATTGACATCCTGCTGTGATTTATATATATTGGTAAATATGTACTCTGTTATCCTGTTACATTGGTAGCTTGCTGCATTAAGAAAGGAGAAACTCTGGTTTTAATCCTCAGCCATGAAGCTTGCTAAGGGGATTTGAACTAGTTGCTGTCTGTTAGGCCAATCTACCTCTCAGAACTGTTTGAAGGACAGTGGATGTGGACAGTTGTGGGGGGAGGATCTACCCTTCCTTGAACCTGTGATAGGAAAATAAATAAATTTGTTAGGTCACCACAGGGAAGACCCTATCCATTTAAGTTTTATCTGCTTGAGCCTGCTTTTCAGTTATTTCTCTGGCACTCTTCTTGAAAGCCTGTGATGTGATGTTATCCCTGTCTGAAAGCTCATTTATGAAGGGAAAAAGAGTATCAACTGAGGCTTTTCTATTTTGTTATCTCAAAACCCTCTTCTGTAGCATAGCTCACCAGTGACTAAGTGATTTCTCAGACAGCCTTCCGTTAGGTGTTGTTTCATCATCCTTTGCCTGGCAACATGCCAGTGTGGCAGCTGGTTGAGTTAGAATTTCTAACAACATGTATTCTTTCCCTTGTATTAATTGTGTTAATGTTAAGTACAGTGGTGCCTCGCTTGACGACGATAATCCGTTCCAGCAAAATCACTGTAGAACGAAATTGTCAAACGAAAGTAAAAAACCCATTGAAATGCATTGAAAACCGGTTCAATGCGTTCCAATGGGCAAAAATCCTCCATAGGGCGGCCATTTTCTAGTGGCTGTTAAACGAGGAATCCATCCTAAACACAGCGGGGTGCCATTTTGAGAAGTGCCGATCAGCTGTTTTAAAATCGTTGTTTAGCAAAGAATCGGTTCCCGAAGCAGCGAACCAATTGTTGTAAAGCAAATTTTCCCCATTTAAACATCGTTTTACGATCGCAATAGCGATCGCAAAAACCTCATCGTACAGCAGATTCGTCGTGGAGCAGGGTGATCGTCAGGCGGGGAACCACTGTACATAGTTGGGGGAGGATTTCTATGACATTTCACATTTTCTCTGCAACCTACATTTGAACCCATAAGCAAGTTCAAACATGTTGCTGCGTGATCTGGCCTTTCTCACCAGATTACTCATAAATACAGTGGTGCCCCGCAAGACAATGTTAATTTGTTCCATTGAAATAGCTGTTTTGTGAAAACATCATCTTGCAAAAAGCGTTTCCCCATTGGAATGCATTGAAATCTGTTTAATCCGTTCCAATGGGGAAAAATCGTCGTCGTCCAGTGAAAATTGCCCACAGGAAAGCCATTTTGCGAAGCGCCTATCAGCTGTAAAAATCGTCGTCTTGCGAAACACGGTCTGTGAAACACAGACCAAATTATTGTCCAGCAAAATCCCCCATAGGAAAAACCATTTTGCAAATTGCTATAGCTATATATATAGCTATAGCGATCGCAAAAAGTCATCTTCCTGCGGATTACCCGTTTTGTGGGGTAATCATCTAGCAGGGCCCCACTGTATATTCAAACCCACCCAGATGTGCAAACATAAGTTGCAGAAAAATATGACATGTCATAGAAATCCTTTCCCTATAATATTAATATGATAATGGATTTAATTTATTTTAATGTTGCAGTTTCCTCCGTGCCAATGAAATGATTTATTTCAAATAGATTGTAAGCTGCCCAGGAGAAAGGCAGCATATAGGATAGGTAGACATGACAGACTGCTGGATTTGGTCTGAGGTATCGTGAACAACAAAGTACCTTAAACCAGAGGTTTCTGCAATTACCATGTAATATCTTTTAGAATATGGTTACTGTAGCTTTAGGCCCCTAAAGATTCCAAGTAAATGGAACAATCATGCAGTTAAGTTTCAGAGGGTTTTTTAACTCCTTACTGCTCAATATTTTACAAATTTCTGATCAAGGAGAGGTTTTAGCTCAATAGCGGAGTTGTATACGATGCAAAAGATTTGTACCTGTAGCCCTGAAGAGGTGGTGCCAGTCAGAGCAGATAGAATCGAGATAGAAGCATCAATGGACTGTTTTTACAGGGCAGTTTCAAATATTTGTCCAAAAGCCCAAGTGGAAGACATATCTCATTGGTGTCCAAACCTTCCCTGTCACCCAGATTGATTCCCTGCCAAGATTCCTGGCTGGTTGCATATGATAGATAGAAGATCAGTTATGAAGACCAGGCTGCCTCCTGTGGAAGTCCTTGCTCCTTAGCAAGTCATTTATCTCTTGCTTAAGTAGGAGGGTGGGTGGGCGGTCATGACATTAGACTGGAGTATTCTTCTTAGCATCATGTCTATAGTAAAAGATCATTGTTTCTTTTTTTGGAAAAGGACCTTTTTAAATGTCTTCCTTCTATTTACTCTCTTGCAGTTGTGGCTTAGACATCAGAAGAGATGCAGGGAGAAGGCAGAACAACTTGGTGTGATAAAGTGATGTCTCTTCCTACCCAAAATTGGAAATAGAGATATGAGAGACAAGTTCCTTATCCACAATCTAGTAAACAGTGTGTCCTTACCTTCCTTGAGCTGAGGTAATTTTCAAATACCTTTCTTAGGATGCTTCTGCTCTTCTCTTGCCCTCTTTTATCACCAACTTATCTAAAAAGGAAGCAGTCACCTTTGACCTAGGAGAAAATAAAAACTCATTAGCTCACCCGGGATGCAAAGCAAACTTTTTGTAGGATAAATTATCACACTGTAGGTGGATGGGTAGAAGCAAGGACATGTAAGTCCTTATTTGTGAACATCTTGTAGGGAACAAAGTGACGAGTGTTCAGCATATGCAGATGCTTTTCAGTGCTCTCCCGCATATAATTGCTTTTGTTGTGCTGTGTGTAGGTGTCTTTAAATGTCACATTTTTTGGCGTAGTCTCAAAGCTGTTTGGGTGGGGGGACATGTAATATTATGTTGAAGAATGAAAAGCTGCTAACTCCTGAGATTTGTTGTAGAATAAAAGAGGAGAGTGAGACTTGACATAAAAGCCAAAGCAGCATTTCAAGTACAGTAGTTGGATTCCTTATCTTTCCAGTCCAGTACCATTACCTTTTAGCAGCACAGGATGGTGGTGATTATTTTTTATTATAGAGTTGCTTCTTTCTTTTCACTGTTGAAACGAACTATGAAGTACCCCCCCCAAAAAAAGAGATTTTGTGAGTATGAGAATTAGTTTGTAAGTACAAAACGTGCCAGCTCTCTTGAGACACTACAACTCCCTCATTATTGACTGCTAGCTGGGTCAGTTGTAGCATTTGCAAGGATTGATCCAGTCTGCCCCTGAGCTAACTAAGTACCTGTAGTTCACAACTCATTCCAGGCTCTTGGTTTTTGGTCATGTTTTTAAGGCTTCCATATTAGAACTGAATTAACACAGTTCATGTTGCTCACTACAGTTATGTTGGTTAGCATCGTCATACCTATCCCTGCTATATCCCCTCACCTAGCCTGGGGCTTTGTTGGTTTCTCATTGGGCACTAAATTTTGTGGTGGTTGAGCCACTAATAGAGTTAGTAAAAGTAAAAGCAAGTTGGTGTTTCAGACAATGAAGTTACATAATGTTAATAGGCAATTAGAGCACCCTGGGTCAGCTACTGTATTGTGGTTTTGGTTACTGGAGTGAAGCTGGCAGCCTCAGTTCTGCAGCTGTGAACAGCCTGTGAAATGCCACAGATAGCTCTGCCTGTCTGCTTTTCCTAGATGTGGAAACATATGGGCACAGCCCAGAGATTGGGCTGGGTTTGGAGTGGACCATGCAAAGTCAGTCCCAAGCATTTTGTTGCTTATAGCAGCCAAAGCCTGGGTGCCTTAGGAAGATTGCAGGCAGGCCAGGTCCTTTGCCCTATTGTTGTTCTGAGTGTTTGCTCCTGAAATTGTGGCCCTGTGCAGCCTGCGGACATGGAGAGGAGCCGTGTAGTTGGCATAATGCAGAACTTTTAGAATGAGCAATTGTTTGTGTTGTTATTTAATCCAAGGATGGTATTGCACCTCAGCCGGCACGAACAGGGAGCTGTAAACTAACGTCTGGTTAGGGAAGGCTACCTTGAGCCATCTAAGCTGATGCATGTGCATATTGTATGCTCTGATAGTGAGCTAATGTATTAATTGCAACTTTTTGACAGTCTAGAGCAAAAAGCTAAGGTAGGACTGCTGTCATCTAAAGACAGCATCTTAGGAACTCCAGGTCTTACCCTGGTCAGGAATTGAATTAAGAACATGATTGTACCTGTTGGTTTACTTAAATTTACTTTTCTGGAATTGTAAAAAAAAGCATAAACACTGCTTCTTGCCTTTCAATTCTGATCCATTATCTTTGTTCTGTGTGCCTCTTCTTCAGAGTTACATATTCTGACTCAGTCGTCAATCTTTTTCTCTTTATAGGTGCTGTTTGTCTTTATAGGTGCTGTTTTCTAAGCAGAAGGGTCTCAGAAGAGTTGAGTTACTCCACAGTGGTTTGCCTATGTCTGTTTACTTATGAATAAAACTTACCAGATATACAGTATGTACAATTTCTTGTGACAACAAACAGGATCACGGACAGAGCAATATTGTAGATTTTTTGAAAAGGGAGAGTGATTGTGGTAACCAGGGAGAAAGTGACACTTAGACCTTCCAGCGTACAGCCTTAGAGCATGATCCTGTATGAGCATATTCAGAGATACTGACATGTTAATCAGTACTTGCCTATGAGGAAATGTGCCTAGGATTTCATCTGCAACTTTTTTGGAGCTGACAACAGTATCCCATCTTGGCATCTAAACTGTTAAGACCTCCAGTGAGGTTTCAATTAGCTTACAATAAGTAACCACACTGTACATTGGGTTGTCTGCTGAGAAACGTCCTCTTGGTAGCTTTATGATTCACATAATCTAGGCTGTTCTGCCAACATGTGCTTTGTGTTGGTTCTCCTTACACCGTGCTAAAATTATATGATATTAAGAAGGTAATCCATAGAGTATTTTTACTCCAGTGTGATTGCACAGTATTGAGAACAATTAGTAATGCTGTCAAGGGAAGTGGCTGTTAAAAGCCAGCCTAGAAAATATTTAAATCAGGTGGTGACACAAGGCTGTGTTTTATCAATCACTAACATGTGTGGCCCAAAAAACTACAATAATTTTTTTTTCCTGAGAATTAGGGCCTTTGCACAAAGTGAAAGCAGTTTTCTGGCATCAAAGCATTCTCCATTGATATTTAAATAATAGAAATATCTTCATCTGCTTTTCCAGTTAACAATACCAGCACTTTATTGGAGTGCTGTACAGTATTGGGTTGCTGAAGAAGGTTCAGCAGATTTATGCAAAGGTTGCAAACCGTTTGTAACAAGGCAGGAATCACTCAACAGTGGCAGTGAGATGACCTGATTCTTGTAACCTTACCGTAGAGCACGACTAATCTGCCACTGCTGTTGGAGCAAGAAAGCAAGGCCACACCCTTTCTGAAGTGCTGTTTAGTAGAGTTGCATTCTGCAGTGAACATTCAAATACCTTTGTTCCAATGTTCTAATGCCAGACATTCTTTCCAAGACTGCAACTTACAAAACAAGTTTTCATATTCATATATAAAACCACAGAAAATCTGAACATTTTGTGTGATGAGAGGCTAAAATAGTATTGGCTAGCTTTTGTAGCTTGAATGATCAAAGTAGCCTTTCTTGAATGTAGTAACAGAATCCCTTTCATAAAAATAAAACAAAAAAGGTTCTGGCAAACAGTGCTAGGAACTTTTTTGAATTCATAGGCAGCTAATCAAATTTCTGTGAAAAAACTGAAGTTGATTTAATGTGGCTGGTGAGTTTTGGCAATCAGGTGTTTAATGAGAAATTGCAACTCCTTTTATCACATTTGCTGTGTATCAGATTTGAACAAATCCTAAATTCCAAATTGAATCAGCCAGATTTGTGATTCTGGACTGAAGCAGAATCACCAGATTTGGTTTAGATTTACAACTTAATTGAAACATGCACTTACATTTCAGCTTACTAGTGTTTTTCCTTCTTCAGAAAAAGGTTTCTAGTACACATCCTCTGAAACTGAAATTTGGCAGGTTTACTCCCCTGTTTATGGTGTGCCATATCTCCAAATGTCTCACATCTCAATCCAAAAACAATGTTATACCCATTTAGTTTGATAATTAATTTATAGATTACTCTGGATCTAAGGCACAAATTGTTTCAGACTGGAGCAGGATACATTTCAAAGTTCTGAATTAGCCTCCGGAGGGAATCTAGGGAGATTGGAAGTAACACATTTATGAATAGCAGGGATGGGGACTTGAGTCATGGTATTCTGTCAAGTCAGACTTACCGCACTGGTGACTTGACTTAGGTTTTTTTTTTTCATTTATTTTCTATATTATAATTGCAGATCCCCATAGCCTGGTGCGAGTATGGCGTTAATCAGAATGTGTGTTCAAACTCTTCTTAGAAAATAAACTTCTCTTTTTAAAAAAGTCTTTAATAAATATTTTGAAAGGTTCATGTGTTTGCCCCTTTGCCAGAACGGCCTTTGGTTTTCCTTTGAACTGATTTCCTCTACAGGCAAATACAGTGGTGCCTTGCTTAACGATGACAATCTGTTCCAGGAAAATCGCTGTTAAGCGAAAACATCGTAAAGCAAAATTAAAAACCGCATTAAAACCTGTTCAGTGCGTTCCATTGGGGTAAAAACTCACCGTCCAGCGAAGATCCTCCATACGGCAGCCATTTTCGCTGCCTGTATAGCGAGGAATCCATCCCTAAGCACAGCGGAGAACTATTTTAAGCATCTGGTGGCCATTTTGAAAACCCAACAATTAGCTGTTTTTGATCGTAAAGTGAAAATCGGTTCCCGAAGCAGGGAACCGATCATCGCTAAGCGAAAAAACCCCATTTAGATCATTTTTGTTGTAAAGCGGATTCATCGTAATGCAGGACAATCGTTAAGCGGGGCACGACTAGTCCATTTGAACAAACTGCTAAGATTCGATGTAAATGTCCATGGTTTGCTAGTGTTACCCAATAATTCATGCATTTCCTATGGTATGAAGGAATGGCAGAATCCTTGGCATCACCATAGGATCTTTTTTGACATTTGCTGGCTCATTAGTTTGAACACATCAACCCAAGAAAGTATGTGCTGTGATGTTCTTCCAGTGGAACTGCCCTGCACTTTCAGAAGGGGTTCCTTGACAATGGTGATATTACGTAACATCTGCTTGTAACTTTGTAAGATAGTACTATTTGTAAAATAGTCCCATTTGTTGCACTGAGCACCTATATAGTGTAGTATAGGTGGACTAGGACTTAGGTAGCGTGAGTTCAGCTTCCTGCTTCCCATGGAAATTCGCTTGGGGTGTGCGTGACTGAGTAAAACAAACTTGTCATACCTCAGAAACCCTGCTGGGGTTGCCGTAAGCAGGAGGTGACTTGATGCTACCATACCAGCAGCATTTTGGCTAAGGTTTACTCTTCCTGACCTGTTTATATTGTTAGCTCTTATCTTTTGTCTCCACTTGTCATTAAAATTAACGTGTGCAGGTAGACGGTGCCCCTGCTGTCCTCGTGATTATTTTGGTTCTTCCCTCAGGTATTTCTTCATCATAATCTTCCATCTCTTTATCAGTTTGGGTGCTTGATTGGAACTGTCAGCTCAGGGTCACTTTGTGCTCTGTTGTACACACATGCTTATAAGAACAGCCTATTGAGCATTCACAAGTATATTGCATCTGTGAGTTAGGATTACAGGCTGTGGGTGCAAACAGCAAGCGTAGGTTTTCTGACACAAGTGGAAGCCTCCCTCCACCAATTCCACCATATTAGTCTGCAACAGCAAATGCCTCAATGGGGTTTTGAGGTACCTTATTAGTTTTAGAGAAATTTTAGTGTACTGTATAAAATCAGTAGCGATATCTTAAGATTTGACCCCCATGTATTGCTACTGATTTTTGGCTAATTGTCGATTAGGCAGAGTCCTACCATCAGCCCTCAAACTTCATATTAGAACTGTGACCCAAGTAAAGAAAATCTTTAGTTGCTTTATTTTACTGTTTAGAATTTAAGCAGATTTACAGATGAACAAAAAGCAGTTCTTAATTTTTACAACATTGTACATTATTTTAATTTAAAAAAGACTAAGCAGGGGCATCATTTAAATTGATGAATCCAACAAATACTGCAACCCTGTTTATATACAAGATTATCCAGAACTTACATCTTACTTCCTAGTACTACATGTCCATGAGTCTATGAAACAGAAACTGAAGCAAACTCCCCAAGGTACATAAGAGTTTCTCTAAAGCCTGCAGACCAAATATGACCCCAGGGCCAGTTCTGTGGCCTCCTAGTAACCCTAGTCTCACCTCCAAGATAAAAAAGTTTGCTCATTAAGCCCCCTACTATCCTCTTATGAGGTATTGGGGGGCGGGGGAGGCAGGAATTCTGCTATGCCTTTTTAAAATAAATTTTTGTCCCCAGATGGGGAAGGGGCAGTTAAAAAGTTACACCAAGTTAAGGCCATTTTTCAGTTAACTAGCAGTTTTACTTATTGTAGCAGCCTTTACAGCATATAACCATTGCTTTACATTTAAACTATTTTAAAATGTAAAGTTGCCTTTGGCTGTATTTATTCTTTAATTCCACCCTGTGGATGAACAGCTCTCGGGCTGCTTCATATATGTAAAATGGTTAACAAAGTTAGGATTGCCCTCTCCTAGATACTAATTGCCTTCCGAAATATGGCTATTCAGAGTTTCATGAGCACTAGAGGGAAGGTGGCCAGCTCTGAAGTTCAGCCCATGATAATCCCTGTTGCAACAGACCCGGCACAGGAGTCCTAACTTGCATGCAGCTATGTTGACTGGGGAGGATGTGTGCAGATGGGCAGACACACAGAAACCACAATTTCATCAGCATCAGCTGAGACAGAATAGTGAGTGAGCATACTGGTGTTTTGGCTGGAGAGATTTAAGACGGCATGAAAAAAGGTAAAGAGGCACAAACAGCAAGTTCCTTACCAGTGTAAGATTACTTTCTCAAGGCTTTCCAGGTGTTTCATCTCCCAGGACCATGTAGAAACACTTTATCCCAAAGCAAGGAAACCCCTTGCAGCTGTATCTCCCACCTATTAAGCCAATGTATCTAAGCACCCTTTCAAAACCAAGGCATCCCAAACTACCTGCATAGCAACAGGGAGAGTTGACAGTGCATTATGTTGGGAGCTCCTATGCACTTTGCCCAGCTACTGTTTGGATTACAGCCCAGAAGGCCTGAGACAAGTGGCAGATCATAACCATGTTGCTCTGCTGTATCTTTGATAGCATTTCATACACAGTTTATTTGAAATGTGCCAGAGGGACAGCTTTGCAGATACCCTGGACTGCCAGAAAGATAAAAAAGTAGGTCCTGGATCGTATCAAGCCCAAACTATATCTGGAAGCAGAAGTGTTGAAACAGGTTGCCCTACTTTGGGCCATCATGACAAGACTATTCTCTGGAAAAGACAATAATGCTGGGAAAAGTGGAAGGCAGCAGGAAAAGAGGTAGACAAAATGTGAAATTGATTGACTCCCTAAAGGAAGCCACAGACTTGCATTTGAAAGAGCTAAGCAGGGCGGTTAGAGATCAGGACATTTTGGAGATCACCTATTAATAGGGTCACCATAGGTCAAGGGCAACTTGATACCAAATAACAGTAACACATGTATGTGATGTTTCAAAGCACTTTACACAGTTCATCTTGGAAACTCCTTACCGTACAAGCTCCATATGGCCAGGGAGCAGACACATGGAGAGAGCTATGGCAACTAACAAATATGGTCCTGATAAAAAGTTTGACTCAAGGAATACCTGTTCACAGATCAGCAGCAGCCTTCCTCTTACCAGCACACAAGGACATTCACATAGGAGGAGGAGGAGGAGGAGAGTCTCTCTTGCACAGTAGTTGAGTTAATGGGAAACTTGAGTGACAATGGTGCTCGAGGTAGGGACAAATATTTTCACAAAAAGACAGAATAATATGATCTTACAGAAGTAAGTCTTGACAAGGTGTCACTAATTTCCCCAACAGATGGCCCAAAAGTTATCTCTGTACTTTCTGATACCACTAATTTCCTTCTGGGCACTAGGGAGGCTTCTCTTCTTGTATTGTTATGTGGGGAGGGGGAGAGAACAAAGGAGCATTTTTGCCTCCCCACCCTGCATCACACCCACCTGATAAACACAAAGGAGAAAGGATCATTCAACATTTATGCAATTATACAAAGTGGGAAAATGTTTCAGGTTACCCTCCACCTTTCCCTATTGTGTGCTGGCAACCCTCCGTCTGTCACTAACCACTGTCCTTGGCCTACAGAACAAAACTGACCCGATGCTGATCTCTCCTGGTTGCTGTTTACACTTCATTATCTAACAACACTGGGAGTGGAGCTCTGTAAGGTTACTTGTGTCTCTTTCCTCCTTGGTGACTAATTGTTGTGTAATTAGCATGAGAGGGAATATTAACCTAAGAGTGTCAGGTTGAGTCAAAAGGTCGTAACACTTGTCTATCCCACTTTTAAATATGTTTTGTGGGTTGGCAAGTCCCATGTACAAAGTGTGCAGCCGTTCTTTCGGATGCTGCAAAAGAACACCTGACTTCATTATATGTACTCTAGGCAAACCAGTGTTGTTGCTACCTCTGTTTGCAAGTGCTTAATCGCATCTGCTCTCTCCTTACCAGACGCCTTGAAACGAAGGAGATGTTATATTCATAACAACAGATGCATGTTCTAAAAGAAGAATGTGTGTCTCGGGAACACACAAATTTCAGAATGCTTTTGATTTAATTCAACAGATTTAGGTAAGGTACATGAGCTGGCTGGATAGCTTAGGGAGTCAGGTATCTGGCTGCAGAATCGGAGACTGGGAGTGCAATTCCCCATTGTGCTTCCGGGAGGAAGAGCCATTTTATCTCACACAGGTGTGTGATATTGCATTCTGTTATGTGAAGTATTTTTTTGACACCTCCTTTGTCATTCTGAAGATTTCTAAGCTTGTTTTTTATATTCCCCGCTGGGATCTAATGGTTGTTGTGAGTTTTTTCAGGGCTCTTTGGCCCTGTTCTTGTTTTTTTTTTTTAACCTAGCTTAAAAGAAATTTGCATCATAAAGACAATAGATCCATATGCGGTGAGCTCTTTGAAAGGCAGCTATGACCTCATTCATCTCAAGCACATGCCTTCAAATTTACTCCATAGTTAAATTCATTGACTTGTTAATACATACTCATTAGTTTACCTACTTTATGCAAAGTGGTGCCTCTGCAATAATTTTTATTGTGAGCCCCCTGACCTTGCCTTGAGAAAAACCCTGATTGTCAAAGCACTTGACTTTCCTTGGCACAGCCTCCCTCGAGGAATGGCAGGGTGTACACACAAATCTCCTGCAGTGAAGCTGTAGACTATGATAAGTTACTTTACTCACTACAGAGGTGCCACCCCCTATTTAAGGAATCAGTGTCTCATTTACCTGTGTGGGTATATTGCCACACAGCTTAGGGCAGTAGCGGTGAACCTTTTTGGGCCTGAGTGCCCAAACTGGAGGGGGGGACCCAAAAAACCCAGCAGGCGGAAACGGAAGTGACGGTGGAAGGGGGAATCCCGGGCACAAGGTACCTCAAGACCCCACTCTGGATCCACAACCAGAGCCAGCTGCTCTGGATCCCAGCTCACCAGCTGTCATAGCGCCAGCACCACAGCTGCAGCTGTCACCTCAGGTTTGGCTGCCGGGGGTGGTGGTGTAGCGATCTGACGACTTATGGCTCATGTGTACACAGAGGGCTCTGCGTGCCAGATGTGGCATGCGTGCCATAGGTTCGCCATCGCTGGCTTAGAGGAAGCATTGTTGATCTTGGGGAGGGGGGATTAATAAGCAAATAAGCAAAGGAGACCATTGCTCACTATCTAGACAGATGTGGCTATCGTAGATGTTAAGCAGTAATGTGGCAAATGGAAGAGACTGCCATGGAGGACAAAGAGTCTCATAAAATGGATGACAGTAGGATAAGGATGTGCCTGTTACTCACATAATGGTGGTTATTAGGCAGCCATGCCACTGCTAGGATATCACTGCCTTTAAAATAAGAAGGCAATATGTACTCCCCCTCCTGCATTTAGAGGAGGGGTTGACTGTGTCCCGGTTGCTATTGAATTTGCTGCTGTGGTGGTGGCTGCAGTGAAAAAAGCACTGATTTCTTTCAAGCACTAGACAACGTAGAGAGAACCTTAGGGGCCGCCCATGCCCTTCCCTGAACCTTAGAGGGTCGATTACACTTGCTCTCATGACTCTCCCAAACAAGGAGGGTGGTGGTGAATGAAGACGTTTCCTTCTAGTGGCCAACAGTATTTTCAAAAAGAATTGTGGCTCTGTAGAGAGGCCCCCACCTGCAGGAGAGCTCTCAAAACACTGCAGAATTGTCCCCCACAGGCCCTAATAAGCGCAAAAAGGAAGTTTTTGAACCAATTCATTAAAAAAAAAATCAATAGGGGCACTGGAGTGTTAGACATGTTGTTCACCCTTCCTTTAAAACAAAGTGTGAACTGTTTGCGTACTCTGTGTAAAAGTGAAACCACACTGCTGGAAACTCATTCCAAACATGTAGGAAGCACTGACCTTATTTTTTAAAAGGGGGGGGGTATGTTTTGTTTTGCTGCCATTGTGGTTCTTCCAGCAAAGCAAGTTGCCCACCCGTTTTAAAAAAGGTAACGGAAGATCTACAAATCTTGGCAGGTACAATTATTGCTTTTCAAAGTGCCCCACTATTTGTTTTCACTTCTGAACTTCTTGCTTCATGGTAATACTTGTGGGATCTGCATCGTAGAACTATGTTGAGTAGGAAAGCTGTTCTGAGCGCTGCAAGCTTTGACATATGGAATGGTAGTGCAACTTACAAGCAAATTTCTATATCCACCATTGTAAGTGCAGCACAGCAGTCATGGTGAATAAAGTTTGCTCCAGCCCCTTTGCTCCAGTTGATCATACATATTGCTGAAAATCACTTTACAGTACGAGATTTGATTAATGAAAAAGAATGTCATATCAAGCTGAGCTTATTCCCTAAAAAGATCATTCATCCTCTGTCTAAAGAAAACAGCAAGGGAATACCTAATAAAGGCATCACTGAAAAATACTTACAAATGGTTGTATCCTCTTTTTTTGGGTGGGGGGCTCGGCAATACTAGCTTCTTGCAGTTTGCACTTCAGCAGTATAGTAAATGTGCCATTGTACCTCTGGACTACACTAGATGATAGTGGAGGATAGGTCTTTAGTCTAGCATGGATTTGTATTACTTATTGCTTTTGATCAAATGCTAAGGAACAGTTTCCACAAGGTTAACAGGCTGCTGAACTCGTACCTCCTCTTGTACACTCAGAAACTATCACTTATCCCTTTCGTCACTGATCCACATAAAGGCAAAGGAAGCTCTCTGGTGTCTCAGCAAAGCCTCCACACAGATAAAATCTCAGGGAGCTCCCCCTCCCTTCCTTGTCCACAGCGTGCTCTGGCTTCACCGCTGATACAATTTCATGATGCCACCTTGATGCAGCCTCTTCCATAGGTCAGCCTCCAGCAACATATCATGGTTGGCATAGAACACCAAGGGCTTTTTCTCACGCTCATAGTAGTGATCTGAAAACATCTTGTAATTGTCCGTGATGAATCCGTAGGCACTCACCTAAGTGGGCAGAGGAAGCAGAGAAGACAGCAGGATTACCAATGAATCTGAACGGGAGCATGTCTGTCTGTTGCTGCCTGGGCAACATTAAGTTCAAAATGGATTCATGCATAATAAACAGGAGCACAAAACACACACCAATGTGGCTGATATTTTAGTTTTACTCACTTTTGGATAACATGTTCAGAAGTACAGTTTCCATTTCCTCCTCAGTGGGGATGTAGGGAAGGGATAACCCTTATGTTAGGCAGAGGAGCAAATTAAGAGGAAGCCCCCATTGCTGCTGCTCCCCACCCCCAAAGATGGCTAATGTTGCAGCTCCAGAGAGCCTTGCTCTCTACAGGCCTGGCGAGGCACAGACGCCTGACCATGAGCACCTCTTCTTCAGAATAGACGTGTTGTGGGTGTGTCACTACGGGAAACTGGTGGCACAGCCAGCCCCAGGGTACATTATGTCTATCTCTGAGGGAGGAACCCTCAAAATCAAGCATTTGTGACTGGTTAGCTCTGGAGAGAGAGCTGTGTGACCACCACTGCTCCCCAAAGGGCCTGTCTCACTTTCAGAGTGATACAGAGCGTGCCAGAAGCCACAAAGATAGGCATTCTAAATGTGTGGGGAACTTGTATGTCTCATTGTAAGGAAAGCACACAAATTTGCCATTTGCAGCTTTCTTGGTGGTGTGTGAGAATCATCTTTGCATCCTCTTTTTATAATGTTTTTATATTTTATCATATAAAAATAGTTTTACATCTCCAGAGTTACCAAGTACTGGAAAAGTTACCATCGTAAGTTACCTGATCGCAGGTATGCAGAGCTGTTAAGAGCATAAGTGCTCCAGTGCTGGGCATATAAAGATTCCCAAACTCAGTGTTTATTATTTCTGATTTGAGAAACCTGTAAGCAGAAAATAAGGATTACAACAGAGAACTTCAAGGTCTGTTGGAAAAGACAATAGTTGGCTCTGTGAGATGCAAGTTTACTCATGCCCCCTTATGTTAGCTTTCAACATGATCGGAATTTTTAATGTAGGAATGGTTTTAAACAAGGCTTTTTCTCTGCATGTTTAAACTAGCGATGGTACAATTCTGTGAGGCGGCATTACTATGACCTGCTCACTTATATTACATGATACAACACAGCCGCGGGCTTTCCAGAAATCAAAAAGACAAGATTTCCAGTCTGTGTCCCAGCCCTTTGTGTTCTAGTCTTCCACCCAAAGATCTCATGCTTCTAGCCCTTTCAAAAGGAACTCCCAGCCATAAATTCCAAATACTGAAGATGAGAAGGGCAGTGGTGGTAACTGGAATCTAGCATAACCATTTGGCTGCTCTTCCGTTTTGCTACTCAAATGACAGGATGCGGGTTCCTCCCTTCTGTCATCTCATTATTGCATGCCACAGGTACAGTTAATACGAATGTAACTGCTAAGATATATCAAGTGCTTTGAAAACAGACTTTGTTGCAGATTCCAAAGTTTTACCTTTCTTTTAGATAATGCACAAATTCTGGGTGAAGCAACTTGAACTTTCCTGCAAATGCCTCAGGTCCAAAGTATTTCTGTGGACTGTGGAAAAAGATCAAATGAAAGCAGCTTCAGCGCATGTCGGTAATTAGGCTGCTCTCCAGTGATCACACAACCAGGAAGGAAACCGAGTAGACCAGCTAAACAATGTACTGTTTGTCTGCCTCTGAGAAGTCTGGGGAAAATAATAATCAATGAGGTAAGAAAGAATATACTCTTCTCTGATTCATTTGAAATGTGGTGCTAGAGGACAGCTTTGCAGATGCCCTGGACTACCAGAAAGATAAACAAGTGTGTCCAAAATCAAATCAAGCCCAAACTATCTCTGGAGGCAAAAATGTTTGAGGCTGTCCTACTTATGGGTACATCACGAGAAGGCAGGATTCTCTGGAAAACACAAAAATGCTAGGAAAGTTTGGAGGCAGCAGGGAAAGAGGAAGACCAAATATGAGATGGACTGACTCCCTAAAGGAAACCACAGGCTTGAATTTGCAAGAGAAGCACTAAGTGGGGCAGTTGAGCACAGGACACTTTGGAGGTGGCTCATTCATAGGGTTGCCACAAGGAAGAGGTGACTTGACAGCACATAACAAAATTTTGAGAGCGAGCTCATTGAAGTTTCACACTCGGGAAACTAAGTCCAGATGAGACCTTCCTGCAGATCAGTGGACATCTGACCTGTTCATGGTCTCAGGTGGTCTTCTATTTAGCCTCCATTTCGCCTGAATGCTGGAGGCATTCAAGAGAAAATTGGACAACCCACCTCTCAGATCTGCTTTGATTTGGATTCCTGCACTGAGCAGAGGGGCTGGACTTGATGGTCTTATAAACCCCATTCCAACTCCCTTGTTCTATGATTTCTGTGGATATCCAAACCATTCCAAACCTAACAAAATCTTCCTCCTCCAGCCCTGACCAACTGTACTTCTGTCAAGGAGTTAAGCAGTTATAACAGAAGAGTGGGATGGCATGTGGGGAAAAGAGATCTAATTGTATGCCATCCCCAACTCCCATCCACGTGAACTGGGCTCCCATCAGCCTTGGGCAGGCATGCAGGATTGCAACTATGTACAACAGCCTTTCCCTGTGCACACTAACCACCACCACCACCACCCCTCTGATATAACTTCTGCCACGAGTGGCCTGCCAAATACGTAGATGGGCTGGAAGGATGGTTCACATGGGAATGATGGGTGGCAACTAGCCTTTCCCTCCACATATCTTCCGCAGGAGTGTGGATGTGATGAATGTGCGAGAGAAGCTGGACCAGGTCTTACCCGACCACTCGCTCTTGGCCAACTGACACACAGCCAGCAAACACCTAACCACTTCTCTGTATATCCCTCACATGCAAAAACGTCCCCCCTCGTGAATATATTGGTCTGTATCCAGTAGTGTCACCTGTACTGATGGAATATTTAGGTGAAATCACTGCTTCTATGAACAGCAACATCAACAAAAATGGGGTGGTTTTCACTGACTTCTTTCAGCTCCAGAGAGCTGGAAAAGGTTGTTGGAGGCTGTGCAGAAGGCGGTTGAACAAAAGGACAACAGCAAAGAGCACTTCCACTACAATTCTCCTCCTGGAAGTCTCTGATGGAGGAAAGAGTCTTCCACCAGCTGAGGGACGCAGCTGGAGGTGATGCAGTGTTGACAAGCTGCACTTCCAGAGTACCAAGAACAATTTCATGCCAGTGAAAAAGAGAGAGAGGCCAATCATGGTAGTCGTGCAAGATACAAATTATATCATATGATTTTTAATTAAGAGACAGGAGAAAGCAGATAGTTATTTGTTGTTGTTTAGTCGTTTAGTCGTGTCCGACTCTTTGTGACCCCATGGACCAGAGCACGCCAGGCCCGCCTGTCTTCCATTGCCTCCCAGAGTTGGGTCAAATAGTTAATACTATAATTACAACCTGCAACAAAATTCTGCAGCATTCTCGGTGACAGCACTGACCAAATAGAGAAATATATCTGTGAAGATTATAGGAGCAAAATGTGAAAAACCAGTCAGTGCTTCATAATCCTCCGAAAGCTGACTGGGTGAGAAAAATAGACAATTTTTAGCACAAGAATTAGTTGTGTGAAAATCTAAGTGCTACTGGGGGCTTTCGAAATATGTGCTGTAATTTTGAACTGTAGTAATTATTATTTTAATTTGAGATATTTCAATACTGTTTTAATTTGTTTTAATATTACCTCTGCTTCAACTTATTTTAATATTTACAACTGTCTTTTTATTTTACAACTGTCTTTTTATTTTATGAATAGTGAAAAAAGAGGAAGACTAAGGGATTGACAGCAGACGTACTGCACTGCTGAGGGTTTTTTGGACTCTGCTCTAAGTATGTTCATGAGGGACATAATAATGGAACATTCCTCCTGTCATCACCTAATGAATTTTTTTTTGAATTATCTTGTCACTGTTGTTAATTATATTGCTTTTGCTTTTATGTCTTATTGTTAGCCACCCAGAGTATACTTTGATCTAGATGGGCGGGTTATAAATCAAATGATTGATTGATTGATTGATAAATAAATAAATAAATTAATAAAAATTTAAAAAATAGCCGTGCAACAATGGAGAAAATGAAGGTCAACACTAGCTAGTAAAATTGACTCAAAAGCTCTTTCTCTCCCAATGTTTAGTTATGCTGTCCTCTTTGTAATGCTCTTTGTTTGTTTGTGTTGACTTGTCATTCTCTATTATAAAATGTTCAGGTTTTTAAAAAAAATCTTACTTGTCACTCTTGTCATAGCCTTCTGGAACAGGCACACCCAGGATGGCAGATTTGAGCATGAGGTAATCCCGTATATCCGAAGGAATGAAAATGTACTGTATGTCCTGCAGCCAAGATAAAAAGGGAAAAGGAAAAACAAGCATGAGAGACTATCATTACAACCGGCAACAAAATTCTGCAGCATGAAGTACTCCCGGTGACAGCACTGACCAGGCGTATCTGGGATACTCCGTTCCCTTTTTGCCTTTTACCCTGGTTGTCTATTCCACTCCTTTCTCCACCCCGCTGCTCTCACTAGCACCAAGTATGCCCAAACCTCTTTTGGCTTGTTTTTATGGATCTCGCCCCTTAAGAGTCTTTGCCCCCTCTTTGATTTTTTTTATACTTCTTCAGATCTTGCTAGTCATCCTTCTTGATGTAACATTTCTTTAAATCTATACGACACAATTACATACACTTATAACTTACCAGAAACCATTAAAATAATAAGGATTCCGGGTAACGTGAAAGGAGTCAATGGACATCTGTCTTGTCTGTGGCAAGCACTGACACCACAGCCGCCTTCTCTTCACCACCTCAGACAAGGATCTTCACCAGGCCTACTACCAGAAACTCATTCATGGAGAATGGTGGGAACTGGAACTGGGACAAGATCCACACCAACTCCTTGGCTGGCACCTTCCATAGATTGAAAAGCTTTATGTGGCAAGAGCCCTTAAAGCCAGGCAATCCCTCTTGCTACAGAAGGTCAACTACATCCTATTCAGACTGTACCTTGGCCTGTGGCGTTTGGGTGAAGCCATATTCTGCATATGCAACAAGGGAATTCTTCATGGTGTTTACTGTAAAACCATAGAAGGAGGTTTTCGTCCCAACATCGTTCTCAAACCCTTTGGTGATTGCCCCATTTAGTCTGTAAGGAGAAAACAGAACAGATTCTGAGGAACAACAAGGAATTAACCAGGTCAGTGCTCCAGAAGTTTAGGTGCTTGTTTGGAAAGCTTTGCCGTGGGGAGACTTGGGATTTTTTTTCAACCTTTGTGCCCATCCCAAACTGGGTTTGGATTGGGGTCCCTTCCAAAATATGTGGGGTTGCCAACCTCATTGTACCTGAAGACAAAGTCATGAGCATCTATCTCCTTGCCTTGGTGGGATCCATTCAGAATGCCTCCGTTCCCAACCACAGCACAACGGACGCAACCACCAGGAGATCCAATTTTGCTGACCAGTCTACTGCTGACGGAGTCATTGAGGAGTTGCACGGCAGATGCGATAACTGAGGATGAAAGGAAGATGAGGCAAGTCAAGAGAAGAGTGTCGCAACAGATCATCAAAATATCTTAAAGCCATCAAAGAAAGAAAGAAAAAGAAAAAAGAAAAGTTAATGTCTTGGGATTAGGGAAAGAAAGAAAGAAAGAAAGAAAGAAGTTAATGTCTTGGGATTAGGGAGGATTCCCTAAAGTAAGGAGCCAAAAAGGCAAGATTCATAAAACAATGTTCAGGTTAATTATGATGTGACATTGCACGGCCTTGTTAATTCCTCCACAGGGAGATGAAAATTCCAATATTTCGAACTGAGTTAAATTTGAGTTAGCAAAGATGGATTGGATAATTTAAACACTAATTTCTTTTTCCTTCTGAAAATTTTTCCAACAAAGCAAAATATTTTCTGAATACACCCAATTTTTACTGAAGATTTCCTTATTCTGTCTATGCCTTAAAAAACATTTGTCTAAATGGCTCTAGGAAATACATCCATGTATAGAAGACTGTCATGAACTGTAATCCCCAGAGTGCTTTAAGAATAACTAAAAGTTTGAGAATGCACAGGATCATTTTTGACTCTTCCCCCATCCCACCTGCTTTGAACCTCAGAGCCCTATACGCCCACATCACAAGCAGTTTCTGAAAGCTTTTCCCACTTTCAGTATTGGTTTGCAAGGTAGCAGAGGGAGCTGCTGTTGAGGAAACCAGACCAAAGCCACCATGCTGGTGACAAAATCCTTGCAGAACTCTTTAGATCCCAGCTATGATTTGAACATCTGATTTTTGTGAAACCAGCTTTTTGAGAACCTCTGACCCTTTTTTGAGAACCTCTGAGTTTGGCCAGCAGGCCCCCAATCCTTCTCTCTCAATGAACAGACATAAGAACGGGAACTCCTTGGCCCTTTTTCAGCACTGTGCAGCCATTAGGACAAACACAAGGATATGAAAATTCATGAACACCCTTACATTTTAAGGAGCTGGGTTCTGAAACACCTTAGCAGACATGTCACAGAACCGAGTTGGGTTTTGCCTTTTTTTGAAAGTTGTTTTTACACAAGGATATGCTTCTGAGTAGGGAGGCACAGAACTGAACTGTGCATTGTAGAAAAATAACCACACTGGTAAGGATCACATCTGTCCCTGCCTATGGAGTTCTTGGCCTGTCTGAGCCACTGCTGGAACGTACCCCAGCCTTCCCTAAACTAGAAATGTGCTGCTTGGCCAAAGAGCTATTCCTCACTTGTGGATTAGGTGGAGGTGGATGGATGCAAAAAGGTAAGAAAAGGGTATGTAACAATGAAAGTTCGGATGCATGCACAGATACAGTATATGCAAAGAACATACATTTTAAAGAGAGAACATGATTTACACGTACAGCTATGAAGACTGGGAAAAGTCAGTGCAAACCTTTCCAAATAAGCAAAGCAAAAGTGTGCAAATGTGTACCTGTGAAACAGAACTGGTGTACACATCTAAGGAAATGTAAGCTTGGCAGGGTGCACTTGGCACTTGCTTGGCAATGAGTCTAACTGATAGCACTTCCTACTCCCCTCACTAGGGTTCTTCTGGGCTACTGGGGTGGAAGGGGGAAGAGTGTGGGAAAGCTGCTTGGTGAATGCACCAGGGAACTGAAGGTGATCGGTCCCTATGAGTCCTGCAAAAACTATGAATTACATACACTGGAATAACTTAAAATCAACATGTTGCATATATTTAAATGAGTCCTGCAAAAACTATGAATTACATATACTGGAATAACTTAAACATGTTGCATATATTTAGTGAGGATGTGACACTGTCATGACAAAATAACAAAGTGGCTGCTCATTTATCACTTGAGAAAATGTTGGTCAGGGGAAAGGATAGCACTTTGTTGAAAATCTGAGTAAATCAGCATAGATGAATTGATCAAGAATCAATGTGTTGACCTGAACTGTATCTCTTTTTTTACTAACCTCTCCTTCACCAGCTTGAACAACTGCAACACGGAAAAATGTTGTTTTCCTTTTCTTTCTTTCCCTCCCTTCCAGCTGGACCTCCCTGAAGGGACCTTGGGCAACCAAGGTTCTGAGCATCAAACACCTGCCAATTCCTAGGAAGGCAGCAACTTCATGAGGACCCCTTTGATGGCCTGTGGCCTCCATGCGCCAGGCAGTATTTCCTTGCACTGCTTCCACCTTCCCTTCCCTTCCAGTCTGGCCTTTCCTTCAGTTAAGAGCCTAAGGGCATCAGCAACAGCTGGCCAGGGAGACAAAACACTTGGCAAACTGAAGAAACAGTCTGTACGGGGGTGGAAGGCTGGGGTTGGGGGAGAGAAAGGAAGTGAGATAATTCCCGGAAGCCAGTCACAAGCGGCATGGCCAACAGCAACAATGGAGTGAGTTGTTAACCATCACAAAGACACTGGGACCTTTGATGCAAGCAAATGTCACAAGATGTTCATAACAGAACTTTCAAAGACATCTGCTCCCCCTGCGCCCCCCCAGGATCTAAGTCTTTAAAGAGGAAGCACAGAAAACCCATGGTCAGAGGGATGCCCATTACAACTACGGGGTAACTCTGAGAACTCAGAAAGCTCCTCTTTTGAAAGCCTTTCTTCGGGGTTTCTGCAAAAGACAGATGAAGAAAACCTTCCACTCTTTCCCTTCTCTCCCACTGTTCATTTTCTAAGTCATTTAGTCATTCAAGTAATCATTCACTGTCTTAATATCTATTGTTGGCTACACATGTCAAGTGTGGGCAGCAGAACTCTCATCCGAACGCGTTTGTAAGGGTCACTCAGGGAGCTGGGTTCTTTTTTTGGTCCGTTAGTTCTTGATCATTTGTGCTTATTACTCAGAATGTAAACAAAGTTCTTTTTGGCCACAGACATAGCACTGTTGAGGCTGGGCTTCCTTTCTCACATCCGACTGCATCCTTGCCCATGAGAATCCAGCAGCTGACTGAGAGGCGCCATCAAGAATCAACAGCTGAATGGGAGTCTGGAGCAAATAAATTATTTGGGTAGGTATCATCCCCCTCCAAAAACAACCAAACATATTCTCTGCGAGGTGTGGGTATGGTGTGGTGCTCCCGAGGTGGTCAGGCCACAACTCTGTGTGTGTGTAACACACACACACACACACACGCACAGAGAGAGAGAGAGAGAGAGAGAGAATGCCAAACTATGGTGAGTGTAACACACACACACACACACACAGAATGCCAAACTATACATTTAGTCAAAACACGGGCAAGTTATTTTTCTGGACTACAAGGCCTAGCTTTGCAACTGGCTCTGTTGTTGTGACATGCAGTCAAGTCACTTCTGACGCATGGCAGTCCTATGAATGAACACTCTCCATAATGTCGTGCCCTCAACATCCCAGTTCAGCTCTTGAAAACTCAACCCTGTGTCTTCCTTTAGGGAGTCAATCCATCTTGTATTTGGGCTTCCTTTCCTCCTGCTACTTTAAACCTTCCCCAGCATTATTTTCTTTTCCAGAGAATCCTGTTTTCTTATGATGTGCCCAAAGTAAGACAGTCTCAGTTCCACCACTTTTGCTTCCAGAGATTATTCACACTTGATTTGTTCTAGGGCCCACTTGCTCGTCTTTCTGTCCATGCAGAGTTTCTGCAAAGTTCTCCTCCAACACCACAATTCAAATGAATCCATTTTTTTCCTGTCAGCTTTCTTTAATGCTAGATATTAACAGTTCATGATCAGTGTCACAATCTGTTCCTGATCTTGTTCTGGCGAAGAGACAACAGCTTCTCCATTTCCTGCTTCCAATTCCATAGCCTATTGGACTTCTATATTGACTATCTGGTAATGTCCACATCCACAATACATATATTGAAGCATGCATTTTCAATAAGCAGATTGTTGGTATCACAGAACTCTATTTTTTTAAAAAAAAAATTATTAAACAAACATCCAACCTAAACAACATAAAGCTAACGCCACAACGCTTCATAGACAACATAAAGCTAACGCCACAACGCTTCATGTGCCTCGCACTCTATGACCCGTTCTTCTGTTTCATTTTTGTCCCCTAGGCCAAATTTTCCAGCAACATTTGGTTCTGCTTTGTTCCCTACTTTTGTGTTCCCCTATGATTAAAAGCATGTCTTATTTTGGTATGTGATCAATTTCCTCTTGGATGCTTGGATAAAAGCTTTCAATTTCATCTTCAGCATTCGTTGCTAGAGCATAGATTTGAATGATGGTTATGTTAATAGGTTTTCCACGAATTCTGGTTATTGTTTTGTCAGAATGTTCTTTATAGCCCATAACTGCCTGTGCTACATCTTGCCTTAGTATTACAGTTGTAATACTAGTTGTTTGACTGGAAATATTCTGTTCCGATCCACTTTAATTCAGTGACACCAAACATTGCAATGTTTATATGTTCCATTTCTTTTTAGTTTCCAGTTTACTTTGATTCATACTTCTCCCATTCCATGTTTCAATTGTATGCGTTGTACAGCATCAGTTCTCACATTCCATGTTTCAATTGTATGTGGTGTACAGCATCAATTTTCCCTTTACTTCTGTGTATGTCAGCCACTTGAGATCCTTTTGGCTTTAATCTACTTGCATCAGATTAATCTAGTTGCATCTAGTGACAGAACTGTTTGTACTTGTCCTTTGTTCTTCCTTAGTCTGAGTGCTTTCTGATCTGGAAGTTTCATCTTCCAACACTATCTCTTGTTCTGTTTGAGATTTCACGGTAAGGAAGTTTAGCAGAGGTTTACCATTGCAGCTTTCTGTGCAGTACTAACAGAACTTAGCTTAAGTGATACCACCAGTGACTTCTCCACCAGTGTTACCTTCATCTACCACTGCTGCCCAGGAGCTGCCTTGAAGAGTGGATGCATCTTGGTCTGCTGTTCAGCTGCGACCATTCTGCCTTGGGCGATCCTGCTCGAAGACCGGTCTCATAATTTGGCCTCCTGAGGGCATTGTTCTCAGCTTCACTCAAACCCCATCAGCACATTAAAGTTTACATCCTAGAAGGGGCCACTGGCTATACTAGTCCAGAAATTCTTGGAGTTACTGTCTAAAAAAGCAACTTCCTCAACCTCTGTACGGGGCCGCATGGCTCTCAAGACTTCCACACAGCCGCTTTGTTTTGGAGGCAGCCAGGATATGGACTGAGCCTTGTTCCCCACCTTCACCCCAAACATCATCTTTCAAAGAAGATGTTTTTCTTAGTCATGAGTTATTAGACCGACCAGAGCTTTGAAATTGGACAAGATCAGTGGTGTGATTAACTGAAATACACACAGAGATCCAAATGCAAAAATATATGATTAGACAGAATCCCTTTAAGAGAAGGGGTCACCAATGAATCCAATCAATATATTCTTGTTTCCCATAAAACTGGTTTTGTGCTCTCAAATCAGAACCTACTGAGAGTGACCCTAATAGGGCTTTTACAGGTAAGTGAGATATTTATAGAATGGTTTTAACCAGTGCTCTCCATCCCCTATTAATTTCTATGGCTGAGCAGAGATTTTAACCCAGGTGTCCTGAGTCTTGGTCCATATCAATAGAATGAGTGTACTGTACTTTTAGCTTCTAACAAGCTTTGGAAGATAAGGAAGCAGGTACATGTGTATTATAAATGTTGTTTTCCTGCACTAATGATGATATCTCTGTCATCCAGATCGGCTTTCTCCTTTATACACATCCCAACCAGCCGCACTTCATGGAGTAGATCGAAGTAAGCCTAGCTCAGTGCTTAAACCAGTGCTTCTAAACCTTGGGCCCCCTGATGTTCTTGAACTAAAACTCCCAGAAGCCTTCATCACAAGCTGTGTTGGCCAGGATTTCTGGGAGTTGTAGTCCAAGCAATATCTGGGAACCCAAGGTTGAGATGTACTGGTTTAAACCCTCAGACTGAACGTCATGCACTGAATGTGAGCCACAATTTACTACAGCCCTCGGTTCTCACCACTACATGCCTCTTCCTGCTCCCTCACGGCCCATTACCTTCATACGGCAATCCACGCCAGCCATACGGGACGCTGCGCTCCTTCAGTCTGTTCCAAGTCTCCAGGGTGAAGAGCTGCTTCCATATCAACGTGGGGACATTAAAATCAAACTGCTTCCCAAGTGTGGGGTCAATCTTCACTTTGGTCTTCAATGACTCTGGGCACAAACTGGACTGAGAGAGACTGGAAGTGAGTAAATAATTCTAATGCAGTAGAGTTAATATCAGGCTGCTTTTCTTTGGAACATTTACTTACATAATTCACTTTAAAAAAAGCAGTACATTTACAAGCAGAAGACTCCCACCCCAAAAATTAAACGTGGGAGTTATAGATTGCAACACTATAAGGGCATCTCCAATTTCTGCACACAGGGAACTCAAATTCTGTGATAGGAATCAACTATACAGGCTAAAAGTCACCAGACTTGAAAGGACATGTCAACACCTTTGTAAGTGCTAGGAACACAACACAGTGCCAGAAGGGGTGGAATACTGTGATCTGAAGGAAACAGAACAAGAACAGTATACAGGCCTTGGGTTGATCATGGTGGACAACCCTTTCCTTGGTCTGTACACCTATGATGTCTTTCACATAAAACGGCAAGAGATGGGACTAGTCCTGGTGGGACTTACAAATATGATGGGTATGGAATAAGTACATTTAACCTCTGAGCCAACTCCTCTGCTTGGAAAGTATTTCTATATAAGAGGCAGTCAATGGATTCCAGTGTCTCTTTAAACTTCCAGCAGGCATCAAGACGTTGAGTCTACACCAATAATGCTGTGCTGAACGATTACATAATTAAACTGAATATAGTGAATAAGGTTACTTTATTGGTGTTGCAAGAAAAGAGGAGGGGATCAGGAATTAACTAGGGGGGAAGGCCTGCCGAAACATCAATGTTTTTAATTGCTTTTTGAAAATACCCAGCGAGGGGGCCGCGCGAATATCAGGGGGAAGGTTGTTCCATAGGCAGGGGTTGGGAATTAAAAAGGGTCCCATACCAACTTCTTCTAACAGATATACTGTATTGTGGGTTTGGTGTTTCTCCTTCCCTCTGTATCTGTTATCTCATACCAATGGCTTAGCAGTGGGACAACAGACATTGCACCAGTATTCAAGTTAACCATGATGAGAGGATAATATCAGAGTGGAGCCACAACCAGAAGTACCAACAAAGGTACGGGAGCCCACAGCTGGGGGCCTGGCCCTACTATGAGGTAGAGTGGGGCAGCTCCCTTATGCATCTGAGTTGGGGAGTCATGAAAAGATGGCAAATTGTGATTGTCTTATAGTATTTAACAAGAAGGTGGGTGTTTCTGTTGCCAATGGCACTGGGCATGCTGACATGAGGGTATGGCACCATTTGCTGCTCTGCCTGAGACAGGACTACCCCTGCCTAGAGCTTGAGCAGCAGGTGAAAACAAAACAGGAGGTTCTAGGAGATTTTTCCCCACATAGCCTGACAACAGACAAAGGAGGTCAGAAGACTGCGGTTCTTCCTCCACTGTCACTGTACGCAAATCATGGCAGGAAAAAGCATAGGTGGAGAAGTAATGGCCTTTCTTTTGTCAGTTCTTCTACAAAATAGCATTGCTTAAACAGCCTGCCAATCAGAAGATTCGGTGAATGGAAAAACATATATTGCATTTCAAAGGTACTGCTATGGACATAAGAATTTTAAGTGGCATGCTAAATAGCATCACAGAATCAAATGTCTGGCTTCCATTCCTGGATGCAATTGAACTGGCTGTGTAAAAACTCTGCCCCGATTAAAAGTCTGCCATGCAGACTCCATTTGATGTCAAAAGCAGACTCACACAGATTGCATAGATAACATCTGTCATTTGACGGATGATTTTAATGCCAAAATTGAAATTCCAATTTTGAGGGCCAAGCACCAATTTTTGAAGTCAAATACGGATGGCATTTAAATTTTGATGAGGACATTTGATGCAACGTCAAGATTTAAATGCCTAACAAGATTCTGAGCTAGGCTTTGAACATGACATTAATTTGAGTTGTGCACAGCAGACAATCTTCTTTAGGAAATATTTTATTAATTTAAAGCTGGATAATTTGAATGCTGGTTTTCTGCCACAAATAGCCCCAACGTAGCTTTCAAATACAGTATCACAAAATACATAAACAGTACTCCAGATCATTGTTAGAAAGCCTGTTTCAAGCACTTGGATTCCTGGCAAACTATGCAAAAGCAGACTGTTTCCTGGGATCAAGGACTCTTCCCTACCCCTCTAGGTTCTTATTTCAGAATGTGAGGACAAAGACTCATGCCACTCAGGGGAGGGGAGGGGGCAGCACGAATTATTTTAATGATGCTCTTCTGCTGGAGTGTGTTCTGACTTTTTGGGTGCAAGCTGCCTAGAGAACACGGGGTTACTGTTTTGCAGTAAGTGGGGAGCAGAGATAAACAAGTGAATCACAGTGAACTATATTAAACATAAAAAAGTCTGCATTACGGTGGGCAACCTATGGCTCTCCCAAAATTGTTGGGCTCCAGCTTTCATCACCATTAGCCAGGATAGTCTATGTTGGGAGTTGCAGTCCAGCAAAATTCAGGAAAGCACTGGTTTCCCACCCCTGGTCTACACAACTCCATTTGACAACGAGTGCTCTTTGGGGAAGGGGGTAAAAGCAAAGAAAGGATGTGCTAGTTACCTTCTCTTTGAGGGGATTAGAGTCACCTCTTTTTGATGGTTCTTGTGTTGCATTCCCCCTAGTAATAAACCAACACGAAAAGGAAATCAGGATTGATTTGCATCTGCAATCCTCTCCCTGACCTAACAGCCCTTTCTCAGAAAAATCTGTCTGCTAAACTTGCAAAGGAGAATTCCTGTCTAAAGTCAGAAAAGCTAGACCTAATCGGGATTCTTTTAATGCCAAAGAAGGGCTAGAGATTGCCATTCAGTGCCTGTCCTGTGGGTTCAATCCCACTTCCATCTAACCCAGGGGACATGGTACTGAAGCAGCATGTCAATCAATGTGAGTGAATATTCATCTGCACATCGTTATGTTACAATTGTACATCCGGAGAGGCTGTGCCACTCAGCCTTTTCTTCCCACTGGGAAAAGCATACAGAAGAGGGGTGAAGCTGTCCTAGCTGCCTGCTCGGGGACTCTTTCTGGACCTCCTTGAGCCACCTTTCTTCCCATTTCAACCATCTCAACCGGAGTGAAGTGGACTGAGCAGGCAGCACCATCTGGAACAGAGGTTGAGGCTCTGTAGACTGGATGGGAAAGGCAGCCTCGTGGGCCAAACCTGAAAACCTACCGCTCATGGTTTCCACTGGCCCTGACAACCCAGCAGGGCCCACACGATCAAGAAATGACTGGTGAATTTAATATATTTACTGTAAGTGACTAGCCAGCTGTTAATACTCCAGTGGTACTCCAGGGCTGGCATTTGTTCAGAGGACTAGAACACAAATACAATATTTGATCAAAACAAAAGTCCATTTCTGTGAATGTCTATTGCAATTTCCAACTGTACTCACCACTTCCTAATGATTTTCATGGGCAAGTTGTTCTTCCTGACATCTCGGAATATTTCTGCTTGGGTCAGTTCCAGTGTCTCCTCTTGCAGCAGTCTGAAACAAAGGAACCAGGCAGAGATGATCTTTCAGTGACAAAATTTTGCACACATACTCTATGTATCTTGTGACTTCCCCACAAAGGTATAGGACACAGTTATAGTCCCTTGCACAAGAAGCATAGCATGCATCAATAAGATCCCTTGAGAAAGTCACAGACCTTGTAGTTTTTGGAGTACAACTCCCAGAATGTCCTAAATTGCATTGCAGGAGTCATGGTCAATGAAAGGGAGGGAGGGATCTGGCCAAAATCCTATTGCATAAGGTGATGACATAACCAGCAAGGGGAGATTTTCTGGAATAAAAGACTTTTCCTTACATCTCATGGCTCCCATAATTTCTGCACAAGGGAACTGATTACTCATGAGCTGGACACCATGGAAGAAAGGAGAAGGAAGTCTTTAATTACCAATTATCGCCATTCCACAGTGTAACTTACACAACAGGATTCTGACCACTTTTTCCATTATCTGGGAAACCCAAAGTCAAGCAATTCTTTCATTTTTGAGTGGAGGCACCTAATGTATATTTCCACATGGACAGCAATATTGATTTCTCCCTACCTTTCTTTTCCATGTGAACTTATTGTTCAGAGTCCATCTGATTCCAAAGCATGCAGTGCTGGATAACATTTCACATTTCTGGTAATATGGACATATGCCATAGCAAATCTGTTAGTCTTACTATGCCAGCAAACTCTTTGTTACTCATGTTGAAGGCAGATTTCCCTTTCTCTCCAGCTTTGTAAACTGATGTCTGAATTTTGCTTGTCAATTTCGCCTGCATTAAGGCATCCTAAACCCTCTTGCTGTGAATCAATTACTTGCCTGAACTGAGTTTCCTGGATCAAACTAAAACATGTAATGTTCTCCTCACAACTCTTAAGGCTTTGCAGCGCTTTTTTCAAGTTAATTAAGGGTGCAGTGAAATGTGCCGAAGAACCCCGGGGATATCAATTCCCCATTATTTGTAAAATAATTCTATGCCAGGAAATCAAGAACATACAGTATTTAAGAACTTAAGAGGTGCTATGGAATAATGTTTAAGTCTGGAGTGATTTGTTTGGCCAGAAAACAAGACAGAATGGAGAAAATACCGTCAGTTTGAGAACACTGCATTTAGAAATACAGCCAGAATTGGTACAAATCTTAATGGCTACTACAGTGGTGCCTCGCTTAGTGATGTTAATCCGTGCAGAAAAAATCGCTGCTAAGCGATAACATCACTAAGAGAAAATAAAAAGCCCATAGAAACACATTAAAACACGATTAATGCGTTCCTATGGGCTAAAAACTCACCTTTAAGCGAAGATCCTCCATAGCTCTGCCATTTTCGGTGCCTCTAAAGCAAGGTATCCATGCCTGAAAACAGCGGGCGGCTATTTTGTTTACCTGGCGGCCATTTTGAAACTGCCGATCAGCTGGCCAAAAATGGGGGCTTTGCGATGATCGCTTCCCTGCAATCATCGCAAAGCGAATTTCCCCCATAGGGACCATCGCAAAGCGATCGCTTTTGCAATGGCAAAGTCCATCGCAAAGCGATTTTGTCGCTATATAGAGCGATCGCTATGCAAGGCACCACTGTAGTTATTTTTGTTATAAGCATCAAATGGAAGTAAACTGCAGCTGACAAAACATTATGCCTGAAAAAGACTTGTGAGTTGCTGAGATTGCACAAGACTCCCTGTTGTTTCTGCCACCACCGCCACCCCCCTTGTCAAAGGCCTTGCGCCTCTTCTTATCAGTTCTGCAGGACACAAGCAGGACAGTACAGTGGTGCCTTGCTAGACGATGATAATCTGTTCCACTGAAATCGCTGTTTAGCGAAATCATTGTCTAGCGAAAATCATTTGGTTGTTGTGGGTTTTTCGGGCTCTTTGGAATGCATTCCAATGGAATGCATTCCAATGGGGAAAAGCATTTCCCCATTGGAATGCATTGAAACTTGTTTAATGCGTTCCAATGGGGAAGAATCGTTGTTGTCTAGTGAAGATCGGCCATAAGAAAGCCGCTTTGTGAACAGCTGATCAGCTGTTTAAATAGCTGTCTTGAGAAGCTTAGGTCCCGAAAACACCCGTTTTACGAGCATGGAGGGAGCTATCAAAATCGCTGTCTAGTGAAAATTGGTTTGCGAAGCAGGGACCAAACATTATCCAGCAAAATTCCCCCATAGGAATCACCGTTTTGCGAATCGCTATAGCGATCGCAAAAAGTCAATGTCTAGTGAAAAAACTGTTATGCGTGGTAACTGTCTAGCGAGGCACCACTGTAGTAGCAATACACCACTCATGCCTTATTTGTCGGCTTCCCAGAGGGAACTGACTGGAAGCTGCTGAAATAAAATGCTGGCTTTGACAAGCTTTTGCTTTGACTCAATAGGGCTCTTCCAGTGTTCTTAACTATCCTAAGGTTAATCCAAAACCTCCATCCTTCTCCACAGTATTTATTACTGGGAAAAAGAAAATACTGTACTTGATTATTTTATTATATTTTGGATTTATTATCCAATGGCCAACAGTGATTTATCATATCTGCAATTCAAAGATATTTAAGGTGGCAACAAACAGAACAGTTCAGATGATCTCCCAGGTCCCCAACTATGACAGGCATGAAAGGAACCATAGAACCTATGCCTTCTCAGACACGTCTCATCAAATTTATCTCCTCTGCAACACTGGGTCATTGCAGAGAAGCTGTTGACTTGGACCATAAGTCTGTGGACTTGAACGATAACAATGATGAACAGGCTGGAGACAAAAGGGGGCTGCTGGACCTGATTCAAGGAAATTCTTGCACAATAGCAGGGCTGCGTGCCTGATGCTGCATTGGATTAGCTCCATCAAAGAGCTGGTTAACACTGTCAGCCAAAGTTCCCTTTAAGCTGGATGCATGTGTGTGCATGCATTCCTCTGCCTCCCTGCATGCAGCTGTCTTCCTCCTCCACGCAGCAATCACATTATGTTCTGGTCAAGACGGAACCCTGCATGTGGGGGGTGTGGAGTTGCATGCACACGGGCAAAGCTGCATACAAGAGAAAGGCAGAACCCCATCCACTGGAGCTGAAAGTTAGAGGGTACATTGCTGTCAGCTCAGGCACCACCGATTGCCTGCAGAAGAAGACCACAGACTAAGTCATATATTGGAGAGCAGTGCTGGTAATACTGCTGTTCACGTCTGGCAGTGCATCGGTGTGATAGGACAAGAACACATGGATGCCCCCAGGTCAGGTACCGAATCAACAGACTTTACATGCAAGATGTATTTCTCTGGATCAAAGTAAGAACACTTCTACATTTGGTAGAATACCAAATTCCAGTGGATATGAGCAAAATCTTTATGTGCAAGCACTTGGCATTTCTTTGGTGAATAATGTTATAAGCTAGGCAGTTATCTTACTCAGTGCTTTTTTCAGTTTTTGGTGACTTTTGGTCACTAGCCATGGATTCAGACTCTATGCATTCAGCAGCTACACACAGAAACCCCAAAATGCACTGGCCAAAATTATTGGCACTCTGTCTAAATTGTAAGAAATAATTGCTTTTCAAGCATATGATGCTCCTTTAATTTGTATTTGCACACACCTGTCGCAAGCAAGAGGTGTGGGCAATATAGTAATTACACTTGCAACCAGTTAAGATGGAGAAAAGTTGACTCAACCTTT